TTATTCACACAGGTGACGTTCCAGGTGCTCCATGGCTGCACGCAGCTAGTGACTACGTGAGAGCAGTGTACAGAGTGTTTTCCTTACTGTAGATGTCATGCAGGGTGATATCGGATAGGGATCTGAGACGTTGAGAGGGGGTGACTGAAAGCTTACTCATTGAGCACTGACTGGCTAGAGTGGGTCAGGTAGAAACGGGACAGGTGGAGAGAGAGTGCACTTGGAGATGAGGCGGGAGAGGCGGACGGCTCAGGTGGAGGACTTGCACGTGGCCCCATAGCACGGGCTCAGCTCCGAGACACCAGGCTGGACGTAACTGTGATCAGCCTTCTCTTTCAGGTAGATCCAGCAGGCAGCCCTGTGGAAGAGGGGTTTGAGGGGAACAAGTTTGGGGGCAGGAAACTTGAAAAGATAAGGAAGAGGGGTACCAGCAGGTGGTGTGGTGGTTAAGGCTTTGGACTCCCACATGGCCAACTGTAGTTCGAGTCCTGGACCTGCCAGCTTGCTTTCTCACTTTTCCTTTTTCTCTCTCTCTGTGTCTCTCTCTGGTTAGCACACATGCCCTATAGCAAATCAAACAATAATAATAAAATAATAAATACATTAATTAAAATAACAAGAGAAGATAGGGAAGAAGTATTAGAAATCTTAATTAAGGGGGCTGGCAGGTGGCATGGTGGTTAAAGGTACGGGATTCCCACATGGTGGACCATGGTCCTAGTCCTGGACCTGGCATCTTGCTTTATTGCTTTCACTTCTCTCTCGCTATCTATCTCTGGTCCAAAAAAAAAAAAAAAAAGTAACAAATGGAATTCAAGAAATAAATAATTCTTTAAAAAATATTTAACTAAGGAAGTGATAGGTTGGAGGGGAAGGACTCATTTCATAAGTATATATGAAGTATGATTTCTTTATTTAGAGAGTGTTTTTTTGCTATAGGTCTTATGTGCTCACCAGAGAGAACAAAGAGGCAGAAAGCAAGAAATCATTTCCCCGGGGGGATGGCCACACCACAGTCCTTCCCTCCTCTTGGGATCTTGGGCATGCATGCATACTCACCTGGTGCGAGTTTTAAGCTTCTGAGTCTGGGAATTGAACCACGGTTGACAGTGTGGGAGTCCAGCGAAGTAACCATTACACCACGTGCTGTTCCCTATTTTTTTTAAGAGAGATTTTTGCTGTAGGCCGTATGTGCTCACTGGAGAGACAGAGACAGAGAAAGTGAGAAATCACCCCCTGGGGGATGGCCACATGGCAAGCCCTTCTCCATTCTAGTCCTGGGATTTTGGGCATGCACACACACACACCCAGTGTGAGTTTCAAGCCTCCAGGTCCAACACTCAAACCGAAGTCGGCCATGCGGGAGTCCGGTGTCTTAACCACTATGCCACCTGCTGGCCCCTATGTGAAGTATAATTAATAGGACTTACTTGATTGGATGAGAGAGCAGAATGAAGGCTATTCCAGGATTTCCAGCAGATTTTCTAGACCTGTCTTTTCAATATTCAGTGATATTCCCTTTTCCTCTCTAGTAGTTTTGTTCCTGTGTACTTTCCTTTTTTTAAAATTATTTATTTAATTTTATTCATTCATTCGTTTTAATTGGACCAGAGAGAGACATAGAGGAAGAGAGAGAGGGAAAGTGAGAAAGCAAGCCACCAGGTCCAGGACTCGAACCGTGGTCAGCCATGTGGGAGTGTCTAGCACCTTAACCACCACACCACCTGCTGGTCCTCCTGTGTACTTTCTAGTCATCTCTTCTCCCCAGTTTAGAAAAGGCTTACTACGTAGTGAGAGGACTGCTCGGGTAGGAAAGGCCCTTTGTTCACTTTTGTCCACGTACCTTCAGCATCTCTGCCCCTGTCCTCCCAGCATCCTTCAGTCCCGGGAGAACAAACCAGATAGGAACAGTTCAGGGCGAGGGAGCATCTGTTCATCTGCCGTTCACTGTTTAGAGACTGCTCTTCTCCGTAAGTGCTTCTTTTTTTCCCCCACCCAGAAACCAACCACACGTTGGCTGCGTTTGCCCCGCGCTGGTAGGCATGCCGCTCCGGAGCGTGGCTGGCTGTGCGCGCCCCCAGCAGGCTTTCCCTTCCTTGCTGTGGACAGGATTTCCTTTGATCCTCCTCACTGTCCCAAGTCTGAGGCAGTCACTGAACACTCTTGATGCAAACAGTGAGTGGCCCCAACACACAGATGGGGTGGGCGCAGTTTCCACAACAGAAGGCGGGAGCCAGAAGATGCTACGCCTCCTTAGTTGCAGTCCGTCCTGTGGAGCTCAGGACCCACAGTCGCCTTGCTTTGCTTTCGTTTGAATTCCGGAGTGTATTGAAACTACTTGCTCCTGACTTTATTTCATGTTTTAATCAAATGTCTGACCTGATGGAGAATTGGTTTCATACACCTTTGCCTGGTGCACCTTAACGCTCATGTTTTAATCAAATGTCTGACCTGATGGGGAGTTGTTTTCATACACCTTTGCCTGGTGCACCTTAACGTTTCTCGTGTTGATACGGGATGGTTACAGATAAACTGTGATTCTGTATGAAGACCACCACCATGCATTCCACAGCATTCCCCAGTGTGGCGCTGGTTACATTTGGAGTGGTCCAGCACTATTTAAAATGAGAGCGATAGAACTGAACACGAGCTCCACAAAACAGTCATAACACGGAGCCAGAGCCAGCTTCCCCATTAATCCAAGGCTTTCACGCTAACACTTTTCGTTAACTGTCATTTTAAGCTTCAGTAGCAGGATGAGGTTTCTGCTGCCTCTGGGCAAATGAGTTATGATCTAGTCTCAAGTTCCAAAGGACATGCTCCAAGTTTTATTTTCCCCCAGATGAATAAACAGTCTCATGTGTATTATCTCTTGTGTTAGAATAGTGTCATCTTCACTTAAGACTCAAATAATGGTATGAGTCATTCGCTCCCTTGAACACAGACACCCTCTTGCGCGCTGACAGTTTATAAGGGCGCAGCGGCAGCTGTGGGTTCTGGGCTGCTAGCTGTAAGCTCGCCTTTCTGTAGAAAAGAACACTTTCTGGGCCAGCAAGTGACGTGGAGGTTAAGGCAGCTGGGTCCGATGTGGCCTGCTTAATGATTTGAGCCCTCAACCTGATGGAAAAACTCTGGGAACGGGAGTGTGTGTGTCCAGAGCCCTAAGAGGAAGATGGAGAAGGGACTGTAGCGTTGCCACTGGGGGAGGGTATGATTTCTCACTTTCTCTTTCGGTGTCTTCTGGTGAACACATACGCCCTATAGCAAACACTAAAAAGAAAAAAAAAAAAAAAAGAAGAGTAATATTTATTTTGTTCATTCATTTATACTGGTGTCCAGAAAAGTGCTTTGCATACTTGAGGGGTCTTCAGAAAACTCACGGAAAATACATACCGTGAAGAAACTATGCAGGGGGACCAGCAGTTAGCGTAATGGCTATGTCGCTGGACTCCCACGTAGTCGACCACGATTCGCGTCCCAGACCCAGTGGCTTAAAACTCATGCCGGGTGCGTGTGCGTGTGTGCCCAAGATCCCAGGTGGAGAATGGAGAAGGGATTGCGGCGTGACCATCCCCCTCCCTGGGGGGTGATTTCTCGCTTTCTGTCTCTATGTCTCTCTCTGTCTGTCTGGCGAGCGCACACGCCCTATAGTGAAAAACTTCTCCATAAAAAAAAAAGAAACTATGCAGGGGGACCAGCAGACTTAGCGTGATGGCTATGTTGCTGAACTCCCATGTAGCCCACTGCAGTTCGAGTTCAGGACCCAGTGGCTTGAACTCAAGCCTGGCGTGTGTGCATGCTTGCCCAAGATCCTGAGAGGAGAACGGAGGAGAAGGGATTGTGGCGTGGCCATCCCCAGATGGCCCAGATTTCTTGCTTTCTATCTCTCTGTCTTTCTGGTGAGTGCAAGTACCCTATAGCAAAAACCTCTCAAAAAAAAAAAAAACTAGGCAGGGATTTCAATTTCCTTTTTTGCACCAAAATAAATTTGTATTTTAATTTTTAATTTTCCCATGAACTTTTGGCAGTCCCCATGCATGTAGTAGGTCATTATCTTAAGTTTTTGGGGAATGAATTAATCTTGGTAATAAAATACATTATCAGAGAAGACACTTCGTATTGTGCTTACAGAATCTTCGGGGCAGGAGTTAGGACCTCGGTTTCCTGAGCGGGCTTTACCGTAAAGTACCTGCGCAGTCTGACAGATCCCCGTCCCTTGCTGGGCCCCAGTTTGTTATATTGATTAGGCTATACTACCTAAGAACCTAAATTCATCTCATCACCTGGCTTGTAACTTTTAAACTGTGTGTTCTTTTAGAGAAATTTTAAAAGGGGGAAAAAATGTGAGAGAAAGTAATTAAATTTGCGACATGTGACTATAATCATTATGTTACATTTAGGAACAAACTGATTGATACTTAACATTGTTGTGATGTTAAGAGTTTATCTTTTTTTTTGGAGAGATTTTCGCTATAGGCCACGTGCGCTCACCAGACAGAGACAGAGAGACATAGAGACAGAAAGTGAGAAATCACCCTCCGGGGGGATGGTCACGCCGCAATCCCTTCTCCTCCATTCTCTTCTCGGGATCTTGGGCACGCACGCACACGCGCCCGGCGTGAGTTTTAAGCCACCGGGTCCAGGACGTGAACTGCTGTTGACTATGTGGGAGTCCAGCGACATAGCCATTACGCTAACTGCTGGTTCCCAAGAGTTTATCTTAAGGTATAGAGTTAAAACATTTAACACCAGAGGTAATCTTTTTTTTTAAAAAAATTGAATTTACAGCGATGGTAATCTTTTAAAAAGTTCAGCTAAAGATTTATGTTTATTTAAATTGAAACGTTGGTATAAAGTATGTAATACTCCAGGTCTGCAGGGCATCTTAGTAGGTGCCGTTGAGACCGCGTGCTCTTGTGCTCCCCGGGCGTGACAGCTTGTGTGTAACCACTGCGGCATGCCCGGCACTGCGTGCTAACTGTCCCATTCACGATTTTCAGAGAGGCAAGAAGAGAAGCTGAAGAATAACAACCGGGACCTGTCGATGGTAAGAGCTCTAGATGTGATTCATGGAGACCGCGTTTTCACCAAGGAGCTCTGATTTGCAGTAAGCGCATTTCACGGACCATTTCGGAAATGTGCCACTTCGGAAGACTGCACGTCAGGGATGTCCCTGGGCCCCATGAGAGTGGGTGGTACTGCTGCACAGCTCACGTTAACGATGTAGACAGCTTCTCGGGCTGCTGCAGGTGACGGGAGCGTCCAGAGGTGACTGTCAGGCACTGCCTTTTTTCTTTTTGGGGGAGAGATTTTTTGCTATCGGCATGTGCGCTCATCGAAGAGACAGTCAGAGACAGAGAGGAGAAAGTGAGAAATCACCCCACAGGAGGATGGCCACACTGCAGTTCCTTCTTTCAGGATCTTGGCACGCATGCACTTGCTCCTGACAGGAGTTTCATTTTGTTTTGTTTTTTTGAGAGATTTTTGCTAAAGGGCGCATGTGCTCGCCAGAAAGACAGAGAGAGACAGAAAGCGAGAAATCACTCCCCGGGGGGATGGCCATGCCGCAACCCCTTCTCCTCCATGCTCCTCTCGGGATCTTGGGCACGCACGCACATGCGCCTGGCGTGAGTTTTAAGCCACCGGGTCCAGGACTCGAATTGCAGCCGACTACATGGGAGTCCAGCGACATAGCCATTACGCTAACTGCTGGTCCCCCGACGTGAGTTTCACACTCTGGGTCCAGGACTGAACCAGGTTGGCCATGTGGGAGTCTAGCAGTGTAACCATTACACCGTCTGCTGGTCCCAGCGTCGCCTTTTCAAAGCCCATCTGAGCGCTGCTGTTCATCTGAGGTTTTCCCCTCGCTCTCTCGTCTTTTCTTCCCCAGTACTCTTCGCGCTTCCTTCTTGTCTCCCCGCTCCCTGCACCTCTTCCCAGGTCTCCTTCACACAGATCTTGCTTAATTTCCTCTTCAGTTTCTAAGCAGATGGCTCCTTTTCTTTTTTTTCTTTATGTTAATGCTGAATGTTTGGTTGTACAGTGGCTTGTGTAATCCCAGTGTAGGAGTTAGGACATTAGAGCTGGCTTATAAATGTTTTCTTTTGTTCTTTAGGAGACTTTTTGTTCTGAGCATAAGACACATCCGTAAAGTAAGGAAAAGAGGCTTTCCGTTGGCTCGTTCTCTGTAGAGCGTAGGCTTGTTCCTGCGTCTTCCTCAGGCATATGCAGGTGACGCTATGGCTGAGCTGGTTTCCCACACCTGTTTACGTATAGCAGGTCATCCGGGCTGTACAGTAGTCCTCTCTCACTGAGGGACCTTGCTATATATGTTTATCTTACTCAAATACTTCTTAAGATTTTAACTCAGACGTATATGTTTAAAAAAAGAAAACTTTCTTCCCTGTTGACATAATTATTGTTATGTTCACCACGGCAAATTTTAAAGTCACAAAAAGATAAAATTTTGCTTATATACTGTCTATCTAGAGGTAACATCTGCTAATCTTTTTTTTTTTTTTTTAAGAATTTTTTTCCAACTTTATTTATTTATTTATTTCAATTTGACCAGGGGTGAGGGGCAAGTGAGAAGGCAAGCCACCAGGTCTGGGGCTTGAACCACAATCGCCTGCGTGGGAGTCCAGTGCCCTTACCCACTGCACCACCTGCGACCTCCCCCCCCTTTTTTTTAAGAGAGATTTTTGCTATAGGACGCCCGCACTCTCCAGAGAGACAGAGAGCGAGAAGTCACCCCCGAGGGGGAATAGTCATGCCACAATCCCTTCTCTTCCATTCTCCTGGGATTTTGAGCACGCACACATGCCTCGTGTAATTTTCAAGCTGCCAGGCCTGGGACTCAAACCATGGTTCACCATGTGAGAGTTCAGTGCCTTAATCACTACACACCTGCTGGCCCCAACTAAGGAGTGCTTTTTTTTTTAATATTTATTTAATTTTTATTTATTCATTCATTTATTTTAATTTGACCAGAGAGAGATACACACAGAGAGAGAGGGAAAGTGAGAAAGCAAGCCACCAGGTCCGGTACTCGAACCTTGGTCGACCATGTGGGAGTGTCCAGCACCTTAACCACCACGCCACCTGCTGGTCCCCAAGGAGTACTTTTTGAGACTGACAACGAAACCAAAACTTTTAAGCTATGCCTTTTCTTTTAAGCATGAAGTGATTATCTGTTGGTCTGTTTACAGGTGCGAATGAAATCCATGTTTGCAATTGGCTTCTGTTTTACTGCCCTGATGGGAATGTTCAATTCCATGTGAGTATTCTTTGATAGGATTTAGCCTAATATCTATTATCCTGTACTTGGATGTATGCGAGTGTAAACTTTTTGGTGATATTTTATTTGTATGTAATTTCAAAGTTACAGAAAAGTTACAGCAATAATATATCCATTGTTCAGCTTCACGATTGTTAACATTTTGCCATATTTGTTTTCTCTTCCTCTCTCCGTATCATAAATATAATTGTATGCACACTATTTGTGCTTTTTCTTAGTCATTTACAGTATGTCCTAGACCTCATGCCCCTTTAATTCGTAACTACTTCATTGTGTATTTCCTACACAATGACGTTTTCTTTTATTTTTCCTTTAAGGTTTTTGTCATAGGGGGCGCGCGCTCGCCAGAGACAGAGAGAAGGAAAGTGAGAAATCACATCCAGGGAGGATGACATGCTGCAGTCCCTTGTCCTGCATTCTCTTGGGATTTTGGACACGCATAAACATGTGCCCCACATGATTTTCAAGCCACTGTCTGGAACTCAGACCGTAGTCACCCATGTGGGAGTCCAGCACCTTAACTACCATGCCACCTGCTCCCCCCAGAAGAGCATTTTTTATATAACCGTAAAACAACTTTCAAAATCAGGGAATTTAATTTTTATAGGAAAAAATGAACAGAATAGTTTTTTTGTTTGTTTCTTTGTTCCTTTGTTTTTGGGAGGTTTTTGCTATAGGGCGGGTGTGAGAAATCACCCCCCCAGGGGGGATGGCCACGCCGCAATCTCTTCTCCTCTATTCTTCTCTTGGGATCTTGGGCATGCACGCACACGCGCCTAGCATGAGTTTTAAGCCACCGGGTCTGGGACTCAAACCGAGGTCGGCTACATGGGAGTTCAGCGACATAGCCATTATGCTAACTGCTGGTTCCCAACAGAATAGTTTTTTTAACCCTCTTTTTTTTTTTTTTTTTTTTTTTTTTTAGACGCGTTTTTTGTCG